ACATGTTGTTCCTAAACTGTGGCATTAAAGGAAGATATTTTGAGAAGACCGTCTCAGTGTTTTGTTTTTATTCTTTATTTTTTTGGGGCCATACAATAGAAATCAATGGCCAGCAAAACGATTTGGTTACCAACCAACATTCTTCAAAATATCTTCTTTTGTGTTCCACGGAACAAAGAAATGCATACAGGTTTGGAACGACATGAGGGTAAGTAAATGATGACAGAATGTTTTTCATTTTTGGGTGAACTATCCCTTTAACAGTAAATAATGTGCTAAAGGAAACAGGAACTTGAGGATCCAGAAACTAAAAGGGCATGGAAGGATGACGGAGAAGAGTAATCCTGTCACCCCTCTAACAGTTTGTTTACTGGTATTTTCTCAAAAGCATCCATGGAGAAATATTTAACAATGGGCCACTAATGTAATCTAAATCAAACTGTCTCTATTAGATTCATATAATTTAGATAACAACTCTGTTTGAATTTTAGCTGATTAATTATACTAATAACTGGCATTTTTAATAATCAAAACATGACACCAGACAACCTTACGACCATTAAAAGGATAAAAAAAGAAAAGAAAAAAGCCCTGAAATAAATTCACAAAGCCCTACATGTGAACAGGAGACCTTGATCGCTATAAATCTTAAATGAAATGGAGGAAGAGAACAGATTTAGGTCTTGAGCTTGTTCATGAGGAGTGAAGGACATAATCAAAGAGCAAGCTTTTATTACACACTCTCTATTTTCAAAATGTGCACACGCACACACACACACACAGCAGCTGCTGAAAGGACAAATTACACTGGTTTAAGCCAATTTTTTCACCTAACAGCATCAAAGGGGGGAGTCCGATTTTAAAAGTAGTGTATTGCTGTGTCAATCCATCTGTCTAATTATCCCACACAGTAATCTTAAATATCTCTCAGTACATCAGTTTGTCAGTTAAGCCACTATGTACCTGCCATGTCAAAATATCAATACATTCTTTCATGTCTATTTATGCTCATCTTTCAGCCTTGATCCATCCATCCATCTACACACACACCATTTCTGTGTCTGAGGCGAATATAACAATGTCTCTCTCTCCCTCTCCAACACATACACACACAAATACACATGTGCAGCCAGATAATCACACTAAATTAACACAGCAGTGGAGAATCTGTGTGAGTGCTGCTGTACTGGTAGGGGGTGTATTGACCAGGTGCTGTCTCTCACAGATGTGTTGATTAAGGGCCTGTCTGAACAATTCTCCTACTTTTGCAGCCATCATGTAGCCACCAACACCTCCAGAGAATGTTTTGTACGAGAAAGAGAGAGGAGAAGCCAGAAAGAGATATTAATAATAATGTTTTAAAAAATTATTGCATTTCTAATCACTACGAAATCCCATATCAACTTCAACCAGTGAAGAACAGACATGAAACTGCTCTTTAAATTCTTTCAAATAAATATAAAATTGCATAAATTATTCTTAATCTGCCCAAAGTATTTAAACGAGAAGTTTACATAAAAAAACGTGTGTTATTTTTAGACATTAAATTTTAATTGCTCTAGTTAATACAGCATGTACTGTAATTACATCAAAAGTAGCCTAAGTAATCCCTTACTTAAATTTTAAAGGGAAAAGTAAAACAATTACAGTAATTAAATACTTAGCAATGCATTACCCATTAATGCTTATTAGGTAAAATCGATAAGACTTAATTTTTAAGTTCATATATGCTCTCAAAAAAAAAAGGTACAAAAGCTGTCACTGGGGTGGTAACCTTTTAAAATATACTTCCTTGTAACTTTTATTTAGCTCTAAAGGCTGCATATTAGTACCTCAAAGGGACATATTCGTAGCCAAAGTGTGCATACCTATGTATTAGAAAGTTGTGTGTGTTGTGGCTTCACAAATGCTTTGCTGCATACCTCGGTTGTAACGAGTGGTTATTTCAGTCAATGTTGCTCTTCTATCAGCTTGAATCAGTCGGTCCATTCTCCTCTGACCTCTAGCATCAACAAGGCATTTTCGCCCACAGGACTGCCACATACTGGAGGTTTTTCCCTTTTCACACCATTCCTTGTAAACCCTAGAAATGGTTGTGCGTGAAAATCCCAGTAACTGAGCAGATTGTGAAATACTCAAGACCAGCCCGTCTGACACCAACAACCATGCCACGCTCAAAATTGCTTAAATCACCTTTCTTTCCTATTCTAACATTCAGTTTAGAGTTAAGGAGATTGTCTTGACCAGGACCACACCCCTAAATGCTTTGAAGCAACTGCTATGTGATTGGTTGATTAGATAATTGCATTAATGAGAAATTGAACAGGTGTTAATAATAATCATTTAGGTAAGTGTCTATAGTATGAAGAAACAATAGCACAAATGTGTGTGTGCTTGTAATGGTCACTGGGAGGAAAGAACTCTGGGGACTTTTTTACAGAGTGAAAAGCAGCAGTGCTAATGAGGGAAAGGGTGCCGTCAGTGTTAATACACTAAGAAAGGTCAACCCACACAGATGCAAACACATTTCTCCTCTGCCAAAACTAACAGTCACTAAAAGACCTGCGGGAGTACTGTCACT